GGCGTGTTGCACTTCTCCTCCGTGCTGCATATGGTGCACCACCATTTTTACGGAAAATTTTCACATTATCCTCCTTCTGTTGCTGCTGCTGCTAATTTTGCTGGTCGTTGTAGTAGTAAGGACCGTTGGGAACCACGTTCTGCTTTTTGTTCACTCATTCGAACTGATCGTCGACAGTACGTGAATAATCTTCATCTCTTTCTCTTTCTCCTGCTTAGACCCTAACGAATGTATCAAGTCGTAATATATACGTGTGATTGTAAAATTTTTATTGCCAGGAACTGTTCACTGACCGCTTACGTTTGTTTACACTGTAGTGACCACTGTTCTATACTTTTAAGTTTAAATAATTAGAAAAAAAACATTGGAGAATTGCAGTGTCTTACTCATATGAGCGATGATCCGCCTAACCTGTAATATTTATGTAGTGTTGAGATTAGCTGAAGGGATCATTAGTAAAGTAGTAACTTTCGAAACGATTGTTTGTCATCATGTTTCTGCGTTAGTGTCAAATTATGAAACTCGAATATTTTGTAAAGCTTGAAATATGTATATGTCTCATTGTCCGGAAATTGTTTACAGGGGCTCTTCATAAGACCGCCAAACTTCGGACTTCGTCTTAAAGAGAACATCAATCAGTTTGAGCCGAACCCATCTGAATTGTACGGTTTGTTATGCGTTGGTTGTTGTATGGAGCGCAAGTGTCATGTCATAAATCCATGAAGAGTTCGGCCCATCACACTTTGTGGGCCCTAAATCCCTTAATTAAAAAAAGAAATTGTGCGTTTCATAAGCAGTGACTTACCATCATTATTAATTCTGTTTACTAATCACACCATTGCTAATTTAAATGAGACTATCAGGCAGCCAGTCCCGAACAGAGAAAGGGAGGCACCCCTCGTTTGTTCAACACGTTGACGACAGCGTGACGGGTAGCGCGTCTCACTTTGCGCACCTCGTGGGACGTTGTGACGCGGTAACGCGTCCCACCCAAGTCATCCTTTTTCCTGTCGCTTTGCACGACTTATTCCTGAGGTCCCTTGTACTCATTCTATAGATCATACGTTAAAATAACTATAAACTCCGTAGTCCATAAAATGGTTAGAAGTGCTTCAGATTAGCAGAAGTTTTCTGAGTTTCTTATGAGTTCTCACTTCTCTTCAAACTTCGGCTTTTACTCTTGAGTAAGCAAGAGATTATAGTAAGGCAGAGGTATAAACAATTGTTCACAAGATGCAATTTGCAAATAATAGTATAATACTACTACGGACGGCAAGATTTGTATTTCTTATTGAGTAGTGAGTTGAAATGTAGTCATGCTCAACCTTAAAGCAACAGTCCCAGCAGGGTTTTCACCTTCGACATTAATGGTGTGGGATGATGCGCTAGCCCTGGTCAAAACATAGAAAATGTGACTGAACAAAGAACCCACCTTGGAAAGACGCTAGAAAGGGAGCCAAACAGCTTCGAAGTGGGTGTGGTTATTTAGTCAGCTAAGGGATTGCATGCCGATTGTTAAACCACGCCCACTTCGAAAGGTGTTCAGCTCCCTTTCTAGCGGCTTTCTAAGGTGAGTTTTTTGTTCAGTCACACTTTTTATGTTCTTGACTAGGGCTAGCGCATCGTTCCACACCATTAGTGTCGAAGGTGAAAACCCTGCTAGGACTGTTGCTTTAGCATTGAGTTGACCACTTCTAATTCGAAATCATTCAGCCGAATATTCTTGATGGCATCTTTGCATAATTCCATGCGTTAACCTCTGCTGTTTGTGTAATCGAATGAAAGAAAACCAGTTTGTACTACTTTGTTGTGTTCTGCTCAAAGGGCGTGTACAATGCCATTTGATCTGATAATGATCCTACAGAATCTTTCATCTCTTGCTCTTCCCATACACGTGTTCGCTCAGAGAGGCTATTTGTTGCGTCGCCGTCTGATTCCTCTAACCACTCACGTCCTTCTCTTATTTCGTTGTATTCGGAATTGAATTCCGTAAAACGCACCCCATGGGACAGCGAGACGCGGCTGCGGCGTCACAGCAGTGCGGCTGCCAAGGAGCCTATGTCCCAGGAAGTGAAAACGTGCGCTGTCGTCAACTTGTTGAAATAGGTGGGAGCAGAGAACGAAAAAAATTTTGTCCATGGCGCATGTCAAGAAACTTCTCATCGTGGAGTGCAGCTGGTCTGGCGGCAGAATATTCCGGAAATGTCCTTGCATAAGTAGGATCAAGCTCTCCTTCACTGTCCCCACCTTTTCAGGTTATGATTTCATTTGCCATTGCCGTCCAGCTCAAAGAACCTAGCGATATCGTTGAGCCTGGAGCTCCTACATTATGACTTCAGTCGGTTGGGCTAGACCAGACTGCGTAAGATCCCCTCCGAGCAGAGACAGTGGTCCACAGTCCGTTGGAGTCCTAGATGAGCTGCAACTGTTCACCATTTTACCGTGGCAGTTCTTTTATTAACCCCCTCCCTGTATAAAGCTATTGTGGAACTTTGATAGATTGGATTCCGTTTTGAATGTAGGGGTCTTTTCTATTGACCCTCCTCGTGGCCGCGGGCGTTTGTATCTCGTAACGAAACGCTCTATATTTAGGTTGTCACTTGTATCACCATTTATGTTTAATGAAGTATAGATGTGACTATAGGCGATAGCCATTGATAATTTCGTCTTAATATGCATTCAGCACGATCGACCATATCCACACGGTTACGAGACTCATTGAAGTTTCACGGGAGTACAAGATGCCGCTTTGTCTCACGTTCATCGACTTGAAGAAGGCCTTCGACTCTGTGGAGACAGAAGCGGTCATCGAAGCCTTGGGCAACCAGGGCGTCCCTACTCAGTACATCAAGATTCTTCGTGAGCTCTACAGCAACTTTACGACCAGGATCTCAGAATCTACCATTCTACAAGGTTATTACGAGGTCATCATCGACGTCAAGAGAGGGGTTCGACAGGGCGACACCATCTCGCCCAAACTCTTCAGCGCCGCTCTCGAGAACGTCATGCGTCAACTGGAATGGGAAGACATGGGAGTGAAGGTCGACGGCTACACCACCTTCGTTTTGCTGACGACATCGTTCTTATAACGCCGAACATCGAGCAAGCGGAGCGAATGCTGGCTGATTTCGACTGCGCCTGTGGTAAGGTTGGTCTGCAGCTGAACCTAACGAAGACGATGTTTATGAGAAACGGATTGGTTCCTGATGCCCCATTCACGCTCAACGGAACGAACATCACCGAATGCTCCAGCTACGTGTACCTAGGTCGGGAAATCAATATGATGAACGATCTAGCTCCAGAGCTGAGCAGGAGGAAACGAGCGGCTTGGGGAGCGTACAAGAACATCGAGGGAGTAGTGAAGAAGACGAAGAACATCCGGCTCCGTGCCCACCTCTTCGATTCCGCTGTCCTTCCTGCCCTAACCTACGCCTCAGAGACTTGGACTCTGCGCAGGCAGGACGAGCATGCGGTCAGCGTTATCCAACGCGCTGTCGAGAGGACGATGCTAGGAGTAACCCTATACACGCAAGTGCAGAGGGGAATCCGGAGTTCGGAACTACGCCAACGATCGAAGATCAGGGACGCTGCCGTTTTCGCCAAGGAATCGAAGATAAGGTGGGCCGGACACGTCATGCGATTTTGCGATGACCGTTGGACCAGAGCGGTTACCGACTGGATCCCTCGGGACGTCAAACGAACACCTGGACGACCGCCGGCCCGATGGTCAGACTTCTTCACGAAAGCTCTGAACGAAAGGAATGATGGACTTCGTGTCCCTCGAGCAAGGAGGATCCACTGGACCACCCTAGCACGCGACAGGGACGAATGGAGACGTTGCTGGCGCCCGCTCGAGCAAATCGACGATCAACGGGACGACAGGTGATACAGGTGACAGGTGAATGCAGCTAGGATCACGTGTATCGCTGTTGGAAGTCAATGGACAACACCGTTAAGGCGATGTGTGGCGCAATCCGTAAGATCGGCCACCATTCGCGCTCAGACAGCTTCTAGCTTCATCTTATTGCATGAACATATGAGTTTAAAGATGTCGGTGATCTCCATATTTCTGTGGAGTGGCATGAGGTAATCCATTGCTGAAGCAAAAAATCTTTGCAGCAACTATAATGTGATTCTTCTGCCAACGAGGTTGTTAGGTGGAACTTTATTAGTGGCCTGACGTTTCGACGAGATCGTCTTCCTCAAAGGCCCAGTCCACCACCGCAAGAGTAGGACAGCGCCACACTCCAGTTAGTTATGGTTAGTATAACCATAACCAGTTAAATAAATAACACAGAGTAACTAAACATAACTAACCTGGAGTGGCACTGTCCTACTCTCGCGGTGGTGGACTGGGCCTTTGAGGAAGACGATCTCGTCGAAACGTCAGGCCACTAATAAAGTTCCATCTAACAACCGTCGTTGGCAGAAGAATCCCATCTATAATACAACAATGCCGAGGTTCTACGAAGAGAGAAGTTGGAGTTTGCAGCAACTTTCAGAAAAAAAAAACATGATTTTTTATTGTTTTCACCAACTCTAGCGGGTGTGAGGAAAATGGTGAGCCACCGGCGATTCCAGAGCGCTGAATACACTTGCTGATGCAAGTGTTGATTATGCACATAAGATTAGCGAGCAAAATCAGCAAAATGATAATAAATTGATCCATTGATCTCATTTACCAACACTGCAACGAAACCACCATAAAAATAGATTTCATTTGACTAATCTTCACAAAGAAAAATAAAACATAAAAACTCCATCGTAATTATTATCACAGACGTGCTTGGATTTATATCCTTTAATCGTTTTTTTCTTTTCATAGCCTTCCGATCACGGCACGAACTTATTAGTGTAGGTGACTTGGATTCCAGAGAATGGTGCTGCGTGTGTGTTTTCTTCCGTGAAAAGCGGATTACCTGTATGCTAGCTGAAACAACACGGCGTTAGCGCCAAGTTGCCTACTATTAGAAAAAAAAACGATCACTTTTGTGCCTTACCTCATTCGCAGGCTGCTCTTCTGCCGATGAACCTGTTGATGACCTGTCGTCATTGAACAGAGGATTGCTGAACTCCTTGCGCAGAACACCCGAACCTTTCCTGGGAAGGTTCCTGTATGAATGAGCTTCAACATTAGATTGGCGCAAGATGGATTCACATGAAAACGCACCTGGCACCCGCTAAAGTCGTAGTGAACGTAGAGAACCTATCCTTCATAGAATGGATGAATGGATGGATCTGCGGAAGAGTGGAAGGAATTTGTCGAACTCGTCGTTCCACCAGACCCCTTACAGTTTTCGATGCTTTGCTGAATGTGATTGAATTGAAACCGTGAAAGCTCCAAGCCAAAGGTCAGTTTGTCCACAACCAAACTGCTGAGGGCGCTGATGTAATTAGGAGGGGATCTTGGTGTAATGATTAGTGAAATTAAAGGAAAGACGAATTCACGCTGGAAAGGCAACCCATTTCAAATTAACTTAGCGATGGTGAGTGGTACACTAAAGAAGGAAAAACCATGAGAAACGGCCCAGAACCCGAGAAATGGGACCCCTTCCTTGCCCGTTGATTTGAGCATTGATGCGACTCTCATGCCCTCTTCAACACTACGCTCTCTCACCTATCTAATCACTCGCCACGTATAGACCTGCGGCGAGTGATCAGATGATCGGTGGGCGTGCACTGGCCCACCGCGCCAAGATTGAGCCTTAATAGGTCGCCGAGGTCAACTCCTTCGGTGCCAATTGCGCTTCAGTCCGCACCCTTAGGAGGTCCGCGGGTCCCTCAAGTGAACTCCTTCTTCGATCTTCATTCTAATCGTGAATTCGTCCTTCAAAGCAACAACCCCAGATCAAGTGGTGGTGTAACGGCGGTCAATAATAAAAATTATGGGTGCAGAGTTGACTAAATATAATTGAACGAAGATTTTCTCTGGTTCCCCTTGAAATGAGGGAGCGGCGGATCGGACGATTTGTCTGAACTTTATTGCTTCATGGCTCCACTAACCAGCGCGTATTTTGATTGACTGCTACGTCACAATCAACGTTGCGTATCATGGGTTGTGCGCGAGGTATCTCGTCCATTAGCTCACAGTAACCGTCAATAGCTCACTTTGTAAGCTTCTAGCGCCGCTGTGGCGCACCTTCGAGCCGCAACAACGGCGCAACTGTGATACTCCCGGGCTACTCTATATACTCACCTACATGAAAAGACTTCGACATGCCCTCGTCTGGGGTTATTGCTTAGAGAGTAGTCCTATGTTTTACAGGCTCGAGAACGGGGGAACCAGTTCGCTCGTGTAGAAGGGAAATGGTGAGTCTTAACCATTTTCAGTGTAAATTAAAAGAAACAAGTTTTGCAAGGTTTCAGATGCCTTGGGTTTTCTACACCAAGATAATCCTCCTCTCCGAACTACACCACAGCCCTACCACGAGTACCTGATTTGTTCGAGATAACGATAGGATAGCAGGAACGCAGCAACGATGAACAGGACAAAAATAGCCGTAAATAATAACGTGAACCATAACGGTCGAGAGGATGGCGGGAGCTGGTTGGCGTACTCACTGAAGGGATTGTCCGCTCACATCGATCGCCCTCATACGGAGAGACGCAGCTGAACGGAATATGTATATGTAATATACTATGTATACTATACTATGTAAGAGTATGAAGGTGGAAGGAGAACTATGGAACGGGCTCACTTGCAAACAATCTTGGTTACACGACCGTGCTCGTTCTTCACGTCTTGGCACTCGCCACCGTTAAGGCAGCCACTGCCAGCTTCGCAACGTTCTTTCATCCACGCCACACCGACGTGAGAAATGTCCTGCAAAAGCTCTGAGTTTATCCAGAACCCACCCACGCCCTGAATTGCTTCACTCACTAGGAGTACGGTTTTGCTTTCCTCGCTATCCGTCTTACTTTGGTCGTCTTGAACAACTGAGTCGCGTATGGGGCCACAATCGCCATCAGGCAGTGTGAGGTAGCCGTCAGGACAAAGACACTTAGCCTGAAGATCGCCTTCGGCGTTGGGAATCGAAACGCACATCCATCGACAGTCGTTAGATTGGCAAGGGAACGACGACGGCGTTGGCTGAAAGTAGAGAATTTGAATAGCAAACTCGAAGCACTTACTTTTTGGTGAGCAAGGTAAATTACCAAAAATCGAATATTGATCGGTAGTAATCAATATTTGATTTTTGGTAGTATTTTTTAGTATTTTGCAGTTGACTTCTTGTTTATTCACCATTTTTTTCCTGCCAGGCAAGCGACATGCACATCAGACTCGCCGCTAATTCACCAACGCTACAAGATTTCAGCCGTCTGTACTCACCTTCTCTCTGGTATATTTTCCACCAGTTTCCTATTACACTAACGGGCAATGACAAGGGCTTCAAATTCTTCTACGTGAACAACGCGTATTTCACTCACTTCTAGCTGAAAACTATCAGTACCTTCTTGAAAACATGCGCACATGATAAAACAGGGTGGACGCTATCGCAATATGTCGGGGCATTCCGTCTGACGTGCCATTGTTACATACTTAATAATACCTGGTTAAAACCTGAAACGCGCCTAACCGTGACATTCTGATCCGACTGTCAGCGGTTTATTCCTACGCATCCAACTGTTTTTTCTTATTTTGTGACATTTAGTCCTTTTGGGCGCTATCGCAAGAATGGGGCATCATTAGAACTAACCAGGAAGGTCTTTCAGGGCGTGACAAGCTTTTTGAAAACGGTCTTTTGCATGATATAGGGGCAGATGCGGGAACCACAGAACCATGTTTAATTTTTCCTGAACGGCCCTCTGAATACCAGAAAAGGAGTTCTGATTGTTCTGGTTGGTTTAACTCCATTTTGCGCGAATTTTGGCACGTCAACTCGAAATGCAAAAATTTGTTACCACGAGGAATCGAACTAGGGACCTCCTTTTCTGGTATTCAGAGGGCCGTTCAGGAAAAATTGAACATGGTTCTGTGGTTCCCGCATCTGCCCCTATATCATGCAAAAGACCGTTTTCAAAAAGCTTGTCACGCCCTGAAAGACCTTCCTGGTTAAGATAAATGCGGAGCAACCGAAATTGCTTCCATGCAACGTGGACCTTTCGTTGCCACCCGTGTGTTACTCCCATTGTTTCGAGCGCGGAACGTGAATGCATCACTCGTTTTTGAAATGCATCGCCACCCGACAAGTGCCCCCTCCCCTAACTTTGCGATAGCGTCTCCAACATCTCTTTTCAATGTAAGGTTTCGGTTCCTTCTTTTCTAGGAGCTCACAAACCACTACAGCACACCATTAAAAATTAACGTGTTTGGACACCTTCGCGAAAGGTGGACAGGCGTTTTCGAAATACCCCCGTTTATTGCGATAGCGCCAGCGGGTGTTCGTGCCGCTAGACGGGACACTCGCTAAACCAGTGGCCTCCTAATTTCTCCGTCCCTCTTAATCACTTTCACGCCCGGATTTTGCGAAGCGCCGAAAGAGACACAGACCGACATAGGCACAAGTATTGCCTGATAGCTTACTACCGAAACAGCATTGCTGTAAAAATGAGCAGTAACGATTGTTGACGTACCTGATACATTGAATGATTGATAGCGAGTCCGAAAGGTAAGGCGGTGAACGAGTGAATGAGGTGAGCAGAACTGTGATGAGTGCTCATTTCAGCGACTTTCAACGAAGAAGAAGCCCTGAACCATTCGGTAAAAAAGGCGATAAAAGCGCTCTAGCAAACTGCTTACCAGTCACTCCAGTACAAAAACCCGTTGAAATATTTGAGATCAAAAGGATGATGCACGCCTTTGGTTAGCACCACTGTCCTGGAATTCCGACACACATAAAAGCCACGACAGGAAAACTCGTTGGGAAAAGGGACCTCTCACGGGTGTCCATATTTACGCGTTCAATCATCTCCCGTTCCACATCACCGAAATAAACGTTACTGGTGATCAAATCAATCGATATCCCCGTGGGATATTCAAGCTTATTCTCGACGAGCACCCGAACCTAAATAAGGAACATTAGTTCAACAAAAATCAAGGGGAACTGAAAGGACGCCTGAGGGTGCGAATTACATTTGTGCCATCCATGTTGGCACTCATGATCCGGTTATGGTTGGCGTATGACTCGATCCACACCATGGCACCTCTCTGAGGATGAAGAGCGATACCTGGAAAATTCTCCGAGTTTACATCAAGCTTACGATTGGCGCTGCCGCCTGGGATGGAGAATCCTGATTTTACCCAAGAAGTGGAGC